GCAGGACGGGGACTCGAGGACTCGAGAACTCGGCTTGAGCCAGGGCCTGGGCGGGTGGGGCAGAAGGTTCTGGGGCAGGGGTCAGAGCTGCAGAAGGCAGGCGCGGCCTTTCCAATGCCCTCGAGCTCACCCGGAGGGGCAGAGCCTCGTCTTGGGGACGGGGACGCAGAGCGCTGCGCCCAGCCCTGTGACATGCCAGCACGGCCAGCAGCACTGTGCAGTGGCCAAGGTGCTGAGGGGTGGGTGACACACGCTGGATTCCTGCGCCGTGAACCGTGAGGACTCAGAAGGTTCATGGGGTCACGGCAGCTGTCTGAGAGAGAGCTTCCTGTGATGCTGTCATTACTGGGTCCCCGACTTCCCCGACGCTGCAGGCCCTAGCACAAACCAGGCGAGGCCACCCGTCTCAGAGCCGATGAGCCACAAGTGTCCCACCCGTAACACCGGCCAGGAACAGCCTCAGGAGCTGTGCCGTCAAAGCACTCGGGCCTGGGGCTCTGCACGTTTGGGCCCCCGGCCCCTCTCCTGAGACCGTGGCCCCCTCCCTGCAGGGCGCTTGTCGGCCTGCACAGGGAGCCCCCTCTCGCTGGCCTTCACTGGGGGTGGTATTTGTGTTCCCTGTCCCACCCCCATGCACCCAGTGGGGGCCTGTGTTGATGACCCCAAGCCAAGGACAGAGCCACAAACAGGCCTGTATTTAAGAACAGCTTAAAGATGCTTAAAAGTTGCTTTTCAACCCTAAGCTGCAAAGTGCCAAGGTCCCCACGCTGACAGCCGAAAACAGCTGAGCGGACCCCACTCACCGCCACCGGCTGCGGCTCCGGGCAGACGGCTAAACGCGTGCGCACTTCCCAGCGGCAGGAGGGAGCGAGCGGACCACGCCGCGCATGGCGCCGGGCGCCACACGTCCGCGCACGTCCCCGAGCGGCCACGCTCCAGCCACAGTGCCCGTTCCTCCTACGCGCCCCCCGCAGCCCCGCGCACAAGGGATGTGGCCGCCCTCTGGGCCTCACACAGTGACCATCTCAGGACACCTGGGAGACGGAATTTCAGCCCCTCGACCTACAATGCCGACTTAAACACTTTTCACTTAAAAACATTTATTAAAATGAAGATTAAACCTGAAAAAAGAATCCCCAGAACACAGCCCTTTGCAGAGGACCTTAGAACCAGCAACGCAGACGGCTGGTTCTCTGTTCTTCCCTGGACACAGTGGGGGGCCGGGGGGGCTCGCCGTCCACCTCCACGCCCAGGCCTTGTTCCCACGGGGTCCCTGTCACGACACCCGCACTGTCACTGTCGGATGGGACGGCCCCTTGTCCTGGAAGTGCTGTTGCTCCAGGTGACCAGTGTGCTGTCCGAGCCAAACCCACCGACGCCCACGGCCCGGCCTCGGCCAGGCCCCTGGGCTCCTCTCCCTGCTCGGCGCCGAGCCGGAGGCCATGGCTTGTCGCCCCATCTTTCGGTGCCTCCAGGTTATGGGAAACGAGGGGCCCTGCCTCAGCTGGCGGTGGTGAGGCCTGAACACAGCTCGGGCTCTGCCGCCGCACAGCTGTCACCACCGATCCCGTCACGCCCTCGGCACGCGGCCGGAGAGTGGGAGCCGCGGCTGCCCTGTCAGCCCAGGACACACGTCCCCACTCCCTCGGGAAGCAGGCCCAGGCAGCCCGAGTCTCCCTTTGCAACAGGGCTGGCCGAGGCAGCCCCGTACTCCCGGGCCCTGTGAGCTCCAGCGGGGGCAGCAGTCTGGGTCCAGCCGTGTGGTCCAGGGGTCCGGCCGTGTGGTCCAGGGTGAACAAACACATAGGAGGGCTGAGGCAGCGGAGGTGAGAGACGCCATCCCGAGGGGTGGCGTCCGGCCCAGGGCTGATCCCGACGTCTCTGATCGGTGTCCTCCCGCCCACCTGCAGGCCTGGGGGCTGGCCCCTCTGCTCACCGGGATGGAATCCACGCCCCTGTCCTTCAACTCGAGCAAATACTCCAGGTGAACTCCAGAGAGTCCTCTACGAAGATGCTCTGGAGCTTAAACTCCAGGACGCAGGCCTGTGAGGGCGGAGGTGCTTCTTGGCGCCGCAGGCTCACGCGCGGGGCCCTCTGGCCTCTGCTGCCCCCTCCCGCGCCGTCCGCTCTGTCCCCCCCACCCCAGCCCAAGCAGAGGATACCTTGAAAAACTTGTCAAACTGACCCTGATCCCCCACCAGGAGGGCCAGGTAGAAGACGAAGCAGGAGCCTTGCCCGTGGGGAGTGTCATTGTAGGTGTCATCTGGGTCAACACCTGGAAGAGCACAGCCAATGAGACTTGAGCCTTGTGACCTGTCCCCCTGTAGGGTTCTTCCCCAGCTCCGCGCCCCACGACAACCTGGAAGCGGTTGGGGCCAACTCCCCAACACAGTGGGGCAGGCCGCCTCGGGCACCCCAGGGAGACTGAGGGGGCTGCTCACTGGATCTGGGAGGGGGACAAAGAAGCCGGCCCTGGGTCCCCTCGCTCGGGCGGGCTCCACAGACTCCCGGGACCAAGCCCTGGGCTTGGGCGGGGCCAGCCCCACCGGTTACAGTCCCCTCCGCTCCCAGGAGAGTGGCATTCTCGCCTAAAACGAGCGGGTCACGGGTCGTCGGTGCCGTGGGCTTCAGCTGCACTAGGCGGTTTGGGATCTGTCCCACACGGGACTAAAGTTAAAAACGCGTGGCCTTGGACGAACCATTTAACACATACGGGGCGTGGCCACATCCTCTGCAAAACCCGTGGGCCCGACTTGAGCACAGAAAAGGAATGGAAGGGACTCAAGATGACAGGGACAGAGCTGCACAAACGCAGGGCAGTGGGACGTCCCCGAGGACACAGAACCAGACAGAGCTCCGGGGTGGCTGAGGGTCGCCCTGGGGGTCCCATCCCCCAGAGAGTGTCCTTGGGCGCACTGATCGACATGCAGCTTGATGGGCGTAGGGGCCGTGGGGAGGGAGAGTGGGGGGGTGTCCAGCACAGGGGCCCCCGACCTGGTTCGGTCTTCACTCGGAGCTTGTTGAGTGGGTGACCCTCGCCGGTGACGTGCATGTGCTGACGAGGCAGGGCCCGCCAGGTGGCGGCTTCTAGGTGTAGGCAGACCGGGGGCAGAAGGAAACCAGAGGCCCAGCAGAGCCCTCAGCGGCAGCACACACCTGTGGAACCGACCGGCCAGGTGTGCTGCCCCCTGGTGGCCACGAGGAGACAGCGCGCTCAATGCCGGCCCCTCCTGGGGCCTGGGACAGAAGCTGACTGAGCCCCAGCCCCCCACTGCCCCAGACAGAGACGGGGACCACCTCTGTCCTCTGACAGGTCCCCCTGCCCCCGACAACCCTAACACATGCAGCGGTAAGAATTTGAACTGCTGTAAAAACAGACTTTCATCTGACTCCTCCCGTCAGACCAGACAAACCATCACCCAAATCTCCCTAAGGGCATCCGCCTCTCCTGGCTCTAACAATCACCACGGGAGGGGTGCAGGGCGCGGGGACCGGGTGTCAGAACCAGCCACCTCTGCCGCTCGCCAGAGGCTGAGCCTGGGCGAGTCGCTAGCCTCCCCCGGCCTCCGGCTCCTGTCTGCACAGGGGCAACGTCGTCTGCTCACGGGGCTCGTGGCAGCTGCTGGGGACAGACTCGGACAAAAACGTCAGTTTTTACCAACTTTCTCAGCGACAAGGGGCAGGATGTGCTCGAAAGGCTTTAAGACACTCAGATCCAGAAAGTAAGCTTCTAAAACCATCGGAGACGTGCGTGGACATTTACATGTAAAGATGTTTCTCAAAATATATTTCACTGGGAAGCCGGAGCCACCTGGCTAACGACTGGAGAGTGAATAAATTACGAAACATCCACACCATGCGGCTGCAGAAGAAAATTCAATGATTTGGGAAGATGTTTAAGTTAAAAAACAAAAAACAAAAAAAACCACACAGCTATAAAATCGTGTGCTGTCTCGCAAGTCGTGCACACACAGAAAAACGCTGGAAGGACACACGGATTATCCCTGAGCAGTGAGATGATGGATAAATGTTTCGTGGTGTGCTTTCCCGCATACGCCCAAGTAGATTTTGGTCAGAGAAATAAAATGGTAAACGTCATCTTCTTGAAAGCACCTGGTATCTGCTGGGTCTTCGGCAGCAAGACAGTACTGAGTGTGTTTTGCACGCACACGCTGCTGAGCGGCTGGGCACATTTCTCGTGCTGAGTCAGAGGGGACTCGCGTACGAAGTGGAGTGAGACCCGCTACACGAGGCTGCTGGGAGACTGCGAAGCATGGTCTTTCTCTCACCGAACCTGGCACGAAGCTGGCGTGTGCAGCAGGCCACGGCTGTCATGACGATCCCAGGTAACTGTCCCCTAGGGGCTGCCCGGCTTCGGGGAGAACCGAGCGCCACGTGGCTTCCACTGAGGTGAGCGGCACTTTCACCACGAGCCCACCTGGTAGCTCGTGACGTCCACACACACCCGCTGCCCCTCGGCCTTGTCCCGTCACACCCATGAGTCCCCGGGAACCCCAGACCGCCCTGGCCTCCTGGCCCGAGGGCTGGAGGAGCGTGGAGACCCACCTCTGGGCTGCACGGTGAAGCCCTCGTCCAGCCTACTGTCCCCAGTTGGCGTTGGTGACCAGGCTCCCAAACCAGCTGTGGGAGATCCCGTGGGTGATGACGTCCGCCAAGGATGGTCCCCCGGGAGCAGGCAGGGGTGACAAAGGTCAGGTACGGGTTCTCCATTTCTCGAAATAGGGAGCACAGTGGCATGAGGAGCGGGTCATACTTGCGGGGTAAGCGGGGGTCATGGGAGGCCTTGGCGCCAGGGCAGGCCCCGCCCCACCATGCCCTTCTCGCCTCCTCGGCACCCTGAGATGTGGCCGCTGGACCCGCAGCGGACGCCCCGGGCTGGGGCCGGCATGACACCAGGCCCCTGGGGCCCAGGTCTACTCTCCAAGAGCTGCTGCCCCACTGTCCTAAGCACCCCGCGCTCCCTGGCAGCCAACCTGGGGTTGCAGAGACCCCACAGAGCCGTTTTGCTAAGGTGTCTGCCGTCGGAGGGTGTCGAAGGAAAACACGGGGTGCCAAGCAGCCTCTGGTGACCAGGAGGCCCAATTTCGTCACCTCCGTCACCTGCCCGGTCTACTCAGCAGCAGTGAGCTGGGCCTGGCTCACGCCTTCACCTCTGGGGTCGGGGGACTGCCCCAAAGGACAGAGGGCAGAGAGCGGGCAGCCAGGGGCAGGACAGTCCTGTGGAGGACGTGCAGAATGGGAAGCCCACGGCGTCACATCTGAAAGACGAAATACGCTCGACAAAGCAGGAGACGAGGTGGCCAGCTGGAGGGAGGGCTGGGGCCTGAGCAGGAAACGAGGGACCGGGAAGGTGTCACAGAGCTAAGGAGGGTGAGGCGCAAAGACAAAGGCCGCTGAGCTTCGGGAGACGAGGCCATGGAGAAACCCCAAAGCCACCCTCGACCCCAGTGCTGCGCGGGTTGTCCACGGGGAGCAAAATGTCACCAAAGGTCACGTGACTGGGCAGGAGGCTGAGGGATGCTGGTACGAGTCATGTCCTCAAGGAGCTACTGTGTGGCGCTCTGCCAGCAGCATGCGTGCCCCATAACTACAAGGTTAGGGCTCAGCTATGTGGGCCACCCAAGACACTGTCACTAGTACGTACATTTCTGTCAAAAGAACTTACGGTGGCTCAAACAGAACCTCATCACCAGGATTCCAGTGCAGAGGTCTGTAACAGAAACACCTGGATCTGCGCCCTGGCTTGGCACCTCTGACTCTGCACAGCTCAGCTTGTGCATCTGCAGAACATGGACGGTGACAGCCCCCGGGCCAGTCTGCACCAGCACGGGGGCAGGTCACACACACAGGGGCTGCTGGGCACACGTCCCTCCACCGCTGGGATCTGCATGGGTCTCAGGGCTGCGTTTGGTGGCGCCTTTGCCAGAAGACCCTCCCATCCAATGCGACCCCCAAGACCAAACAGGTGACCCATGAAGCAAGGACAGTCCTCCTGATGGGGGAGAAAAAGCCTATCACCAGCTAAATGGACTCTGTCACTGGACTGATGGGCTGTGCTGTCACTCATTACAGAGGGCTCAAAAGCATCGTTATTGTCCAGTGTGCTGAGAATAGACTGTTCTCTCGTTTGCTGCAGAAAGTTCTCTCTCTCCCTGATGGAGCCTTAATGAGAGTAAATTGTCTAAAATAACATTCCTGTACTTGGCCATTTTCCTGTTACCTGCCAAGATGACATCCCCTTGGTCACCTATCACCCTATCAGGAAGACGGCCCTTTCTGAAAGCGGGGCGCTGGTCCGTCAAGGCTGGTGCTGCTCTGAGTGTGTGTGGGACACAAGTGCCAGTGGACCCGGGAGGGGGGACCGTGATCTTGGAGGTGCCAGAGGCCTAGCCATGGGGCCTGTGGCCGGTAACCAGCCCTGCCAGGGTCCCAAAGCCTGCAGGGACTGAGAGCAGGGCCAGGGACGGCGCCCTCCCAGCCCTGTGTGCTCCCCCCACCCCCGGGCCTCTCATGCCGGCAAAGCTGCACCCTGGGGACTCCACTGCAGGCCGTCCAGTGCGACCGCCTGAGCCCCAGCCAGACGCTGCAGGAGGCCAGGGCAGCAGCCTGCGCAGTGGCCCCAAGGGCCACTGCAGACACAGGGTGGGGGGCAGGGCAGGCAGACAGAAGGAGCCCGCCTCCAAACGCTCCGACGCGGGGGGCCAGGCCTCAAGCAGCTCCACTCTCGGGGGTCACCCCAGCCCTGCCTGCAGGGCTGTGGCCTCCCACCCGGGCCCAACTTCCCCGAAACCGGGTCTCTGAATGCAGGGCCACCAGGTAGGAGGGGACGGGCTGGGACACTGGGAAGAAGACCATGCTCGGACCTCTCCTCCCACAGCCGTGAGCGCTCATGACTGCTGTGAAGCCGCCGGGACCTGCCAACAGAGACGGCTCGGACGCTGCAGGGAGACAGTCCCGGCGACCGGCTCCAGAGCAGCACGGCGCGTGGTGACGGCAGCGGTCAGGCCGGCTCCGTCCTGAAACTAAACTGTGCTAGGTGTGGGAGTCAGCGCAGGTCTGACTCCGGAGGTGGAGGGGTTTTCCAGCGGGGCCTACTGCTGGGTGGACACACACCTGATGGACCGGGCTGTTTCCAGGCCCCAGGCAGCTGCCCTAACCGTGCACCTCACCTCCCTCGGGGCGGCCAACGTGCGCTTCACGGCGGGCGAGGCAAAGCCGGGTAGAGGGCCAGTTCGGGACAGCCTGGCCCGGGTGACTGCGAAGGGGTTCCCCTTCCCTGCCATCTGCTCGAGGGCCAACCAGCACACCCAGGGGACCGAAGGACACCGCTGAACCGACACCCCCAGTGAGCGCGGTCCTCCCAGGGCTAAGGAGCGGGCCGGCGCCGAGTTTCCTGTCCCCTTAAGTCCCCCTTACGATCGCCGGCCAGCCCCGCGGCTCTGGATGGGATGCTCTCTCCCAGTGCGTGCTCCACGCTCTCCGGATCCACAGCAGGGCGTGGCGTCCACAGCACACGCCAGAGACCCCTCTGGGTCCCTTCCTCGCTGTGCCCACGAGCCGCCTCAAGCGTGCCAAGCCTGGCCTCTGACCCTGTCCCCCTGCCCCCTCCTGTGTCGCTCTTGGTTTCTCATCAAGAACTACAACTGAAGCAGCTGAGTTCGAACTTGTGACAGAAGACAGAAAAGCAGAGCAGACCCTCCCTGGCAGAGGCCGAGAATGCGAGCTCTCCGTTCCCAACGCGACACTCGGCGCCGGACATAAACCTCAACTGTTTCCTGCTAACCCTGCACCCAAGGCCGATCTGAGCGATAACAACACACTCAATCTTCACCCACAGCAAAAAGAAGTTCACACTCGGTGGAAGGAGGGCGGATATGTCGGCACCAAAGCCATTCAGAGCTCAGAAAAGGGCTGGATTCCAGGGAGGCTTGGCCGGGCCTCCCAAGCCAAGGAGCAGGATTTAGCCGCAGGGGGAGGGAGACGCCGGGATCGCGGCCCCATGCGGGCGGGCGCGGGCGCGGG